ATATTACAATATTAACTGTTGATTTTTAGATGACCCTCCACAATGGCCAAGTTTTTCCTTTTTTAAATATGGCTGACTCTCATATTTTATCAATTATTTTCTTTGGGGAAAAAACTTGGTAAAATTAGTCTGGTTTCTGATAATAGGAATGCTTATAAATGATTGATTGTGTCTCCTCCCAACCCCAACTTAAAGAACTAAAAAGTACACTGCAGCCTTTAGGAAAACTTAAACTCTGATGTCACTTAGGGAGCTATAAAATTGTTTTAGTTCATTCCTTGTTGGTCCATTCAAACCAGGTATGTGTGGCTTGTAAAGTCAAGAATGCAAGTCTATCCCAGCAATGTTTGCCTTTCTCATTGCTCTGGAGTTGCCCAGGAGAGTCTCAAACTTTGGAAATGGCATTTATATTGAGTAAATCCCCTCAGGCAACTAGAATAAATTTTAATATTTAAAGTTGTTGAGTAGAATATAGTATTTGCAGTTACAGACACAATTTTAACTTACACTCCTCAAAAGCTAATTTTCATCTCTTATAGCATTATTGTATACTTAACTATTTGTACTTTAATAAGAAAAACTAGGCTATATGCTTAACTATCAAATTATTAATTAATTTATCATGCATTCATCGAACACTCACTATATGCCAGGCACTGTGCTAGACACAATGGCAGGTACCTAGAAGAAGGAGTTATGGCCTCTGCTAGGGAGAAGTGTATAGCTCTGTGGAGAAAGAGAGTAATCAATAATTACAGTGCAGGGAAATACGTGGTTTTCTAAAAGCTGTTGCAAATGGAGTACGAGTTCAGTAGGAATCTGTATTTTAATGTGCACCTATTTTAGGGCATTGACATAATGGGCAAAGTGAGGTGACCACCTATTCTATTGTGAGCTCTTCCTAGGAAGGATCCTATTTCAGCAGTTTGGTCTGGCTAACTTTAAATAGGACATCTAAGCTGAATTTGGCAGGCATTCAAATACATATCTCCTTGGGGCCAAACTGTTCCATTCTGTGCCATGAAACTTCAGCTATTGTGGAAAGAGCAACTTTGCCATCTCATCTCAAAAACCTAGAACAAATCTAATGATCTGTGCAGAAGAGTAGCTACATAAATTATAGTATCACTTTTGGAGAGAATTTTATGAAATTACTGAAAACCATAGTAAGGAAACATTTTAAAAGTCTAGGGGAAACAGTTGGCACAGAATGTTGAATGAAAAAAGTATATAAATTGTATATGCTGGGCACTCTTAACTATGTTAAAATAATTCATTGAACAAGAGAAGTATTCAAAAGATTAATGGGATTGAGGGCAATTATTATTCTCTGTTTTTTCTGCATTTTCTAAGATTTATACAATGAGCATATTTCTCTTATAATCAGGAAAAATGATGCTTGTTTTAAAAAACAATCCATTTCATTGCTA